ACTCCTGCCTTGTCTCAATGCCTTACCAACGCACAGAACAGAACAATAGTCATTTACAATTTATAAGTCCTCGCTAGCTATTTCTCATATACAGTATGCTAGCCTTTCCTGAAGTTAAGAGTTCAAAACTATTTTTTACATATGGTTTTTATGATATTTATAGGCATTATGAGCAATTACTGCCCCAAATTGTTCTATCCTTGCCCTGTATCCACTCAGGTATATATAGTATAATGCAACTATGATCATTTTGATTTGATTTTCATCTCCCTCTTGTTTTATCTGGTATTCTTTTGTTCAAGGTTGCATTTCCTACTTGATGCACTGTCTTGAACAAAAGAATGCTATTGGGGATGAGGTCAGTACTGAACACTAAAGAGACTCCCACATAGCAATTAAGAGTCACTTCAGAGGATAGATACTACACGAACCAAGGTCTATTGTCATAAATTTCAGGATTGCAAAACTCTCCTTTGTCCTTTTAAACTGAGATATAATACTTTCTTCTGCTAGCCTCAGAGATATAACTATTTTTGAAAATGGTTATGTGAAAGCGAAGTACTGCATACAGTTATGAATATAACAACCCTGATGGCTAATGTGGTATGTAACATAATGACAAAGATGCTGTGGGAAGTCCCCACCCGAGAAGGAAATATTTTGGGGGGATATTAAAAAGGACAGAATATTATATTTCCCCAAAGGATCTTAAAGGCAGAAAAGCAGGCCCAGCTTTTCTTAATAGCACCAACAGAAAGTAGGCAGAGGCCAGGTCTGTAGAAATGCAGATTTGATAATCCTATTCAGAAAGTTTGGGCCCAGGAAGCTTGGAGCTGATGAAATTAGAAAGACAAAGACCCCTAAAATCTACATTCCCCCACCCAAACTCTAAAAACATTACCTTTAGGACATAATAGGATTAACCCACCACCATCAGAATACCAAAGGGACATGCTCCAAAGCTCAGGTCAAAGTTCATGCCACAGGAACAGGAAACAACCTCAAACACAAAACCCCAAGAAGGTATAAAAACCCTCCACTCCCAGCTACATGTGGTCAGCTTTCCCAGAGCCACATTTCTCTCTGGCTCTGCTCTTCAATAAACTACAACCTTCTTTCTAAAGCAGTCTCCATTTGGTTTATTCCCGGCTTGGATTGGACCCTGATGAAGATTTTTCTTTCAACAGTGCCATTGTGCAAGAAAGACCTAGCTCTTCTTGCACCATTATCAAACCAGCTTCTTCTCTTAATGCAATAAGTATTAATAGAAATAAACATTTGTTAATCTGAAGCCTATAAAGCATGATGAGAAATAAGCTCATGTAGCTGTGAAGAAATGAAGATTCTCCAGCAAAATGGGGGAACAACTTCCATTGAAAGTTGATTCCATTGAAAGCATGGTGAATAGTGAGTTGACTCTCTTGACTTATGTACACTTTCTCCCTTAACCGACACCAGCACTCAGAACCAGCTGATTAAACAAGTAGAAACATTTTTAATTTTTTAAGGAGGCTCAAAATATGTAAGAAAACAAAAGCTGCCAGTGATTAGCCAACCATTGGTAGGAATAACAACATAGAAAATCTGTAGCAGCTTTCAGAATTCTGGTTTTTGCAGTTTTCTTTTTAATTAATACCTACATAAGGTCAACATATTTTTAGTCTCCCAAATGCATGTTCCATCACATATTTATAGTAGTTAAAAATAGGGTGCTAGATTATATCATTCCATATTATCCAGATAGCTAACAAAGGGCTTCATAAGCCAAACATGTACTGTATTATATAAGTAATACTGGACAATATATTATACCATGTAACGTATTATATGAATGCTACTAAGTGTGATGGACATGTTTACAGACTCAGAAGCACTGAAATTTATTGATTCATATAAGAGGACATACTAAGGATGAAAGCATTCTGGTCTTTCCCATTCCAGTATTTATGAAGTGACTGGAATGATTAACAGCCTTTGGTTTAGAGTTAAAATTCTTTGTAATTAATGCATACTTAACCTTCTATATAATTGGATATATGGCAAATAGCCCAATGTAAGTGGAACATTTGTTACAGCAATGAAATGTAAAAGTATAAAAGCAATGTAAAGTGGGAGGGAGGGAGGGAGGGAGGGAGGGAGGGAGGGAGGAAGGAAGGAAGGAAGGAAGGAAGGAAGGAAGGAAGGAAGGAAGGAAGGAAGGAAGGAAGGAAGGAAGGAAGGAAGGAAGAGAATTAAGCAAGAGATGTGAATGTGATTGTTCTGCCACTGCAATTATAGATCTTGGATTTATGCTGGAAGATGACACTGTATCTTGTAACTCCATCTAGAATTGGAGATGAGGAAAAAAAAATCGCCACAATGGAAGCAATTCATCTCTCAGCAAAAAAAGGGGGGAGGGGCTATAAAGTTGCCAAAGTACTATGGAAACTTGTTCATTCTAGTTTCCCTCCAACAATGGGCAATGATTGTCCTTTTGAAAATAGCAGCAATCCATTTTCCAATAATCATTCAGGCATGTAATTTATAATTCATTCTTATACAAAATATACTTAAAGTGCAAATAGGGTCTAACATTAATTTTCAACTTTCAAACTGCTAGGTAACTATTTTTACTATATGGATATTGGCTCTTGCATCACTAAAAATTGCTGGAATGAGAAAATCAGCAGTATCTTCCTTGCTGTTCTAAAGTTCTTTTTCCATATCTCATTGTCCCTTATGCATCTGTAATGAAAGATAGGAATAGAATAACCAGAACAAAGAAGTCAACACCCATCACCATTCTCACTGAATCAATAATTTGCTGGTTTGCAAAACCATTCTATTTTGATTGTGGTATGAATGTTCAGTCAGACAATATGAGCTATGCTTCTTCTGCTTTTCATGTATCTCTCCAAATGGCTGGAAGGGTTTTTGAAATTTGGAAAATTGCTAGAGGCAACACAAATTGCCCAAAGTTTCTGGGACTCAGGCAAGATAAATGGTATATAATATATTATTATGGTTAGTAGCATAGTCAGCCAGATGTTTACACTGGATTGGGATTTTTATTTGAATCCTTCTGAGGGACCTAAGATAGGCAAATGTAGTTGTTTGATAGAGATAAAGGTATTGTTGCAAGATAAACTGTTCTGAGTAAAGCTGCCTTTTGCAATTGGTGATTTTGTCAATGCTGATGGTGTTCAAGTAGTGCTTCAGATCTTTTGGAACTGCACTCAAGGTGCCTATTGTTATTGGTACTATCTTTGCTTTCTTTTACCACAGTTGTTCTACTTCTATTTGCAAGTCTTTGTATTTTGTGATATTTAGAACAGAATAGAGTTGGAAGGGACCTTGGAGGTCTTCTAGTCCAGCCCCCTACTCTAGCAGGAGAACCTATACCATCTCAGACAAGTAATTGTCTAGTCTCTTCTTAAAAATCTCCAGTGATGGAGTACCCACGATTTCTGGGGGTAAGCTGTTCTACTGGTTAATTGTCCTCACTGTTCAGGAAGTTTCTCCTTAATTCTAGGTTGGTTCTCTCTTTGTTCAGTTTCCAGCCATTGTTTCTTATCCTGCCCTCTGGTGCTTTGGTGAATAATGTGAATCCCCTCTCTTCTTTATGGCAGGTCTTCAAGTACTGGAATACTGCTAGCATGTCTCCCCTATTTCTTCTTTTCTTTAGACTAGCCAGACCCAAGGCCTGCAGCCATTCTTCTCCAGTTCTTTCTCTCCTATTCAATTCAGTTCAAATGTATTACAGCCCTAAGGTCAGACACAAATAAAATATCAAATAAGAGAAATATCACCTCTATATCTATCTCTATCTATATATCTGTATCTGTATTTGTCTATGTCTATGCAATGGTGGGATTCAAATATGTGAACAACCAGTTCTCTGTGTGGATGCCGCTTCTAGAAGTCTATTCTGGGCCTGGGCAACAAAAAATTAGCTACTGGTTCTGCCGAAGTGGTACGAACCGGCTGAATCCCATCACTGTGTCTATCCCTATCTCTGTCTGCTCTGCCCCCCCCCCTATCTATCTATCTATCTATCTATCTATCTATCTATCTATCTATCTATCTATCTATCTATCTATCTCATCTACATTAGTGTGCATAAGAGAAAAACATTAATAATGGAGTCAGAAATAAACAAGAACACAGTAACTAAAATAAATACAAATAAATACTATTATAAGATGCCCCAATCCAGCTTATCATACAAATGGTAGCACAGAACTGGGTGATTTGTGAGGTTATTTTTTAAGTTCTTGCCTGAGACTAATACCATAAATAGAAATTGCACTCCCTATCTGGAAATTTCTTCAAAACAAGAGACATCTTCTATTCTGCTAGGTACTACAACGTCCACTATTCAGACATTTTCATCTATCTTGTCAACAATTGTTAAGTCTGGGGTTTTATGTGGCAGGTGCTTGTCTGCTTGAATTCTGAAGTCCCAGAGTACTTTAGCTTCTTCCTGTTCTTCTCAACAATATTAGTTGTAGCTTTGGAGAATGCACTAAGTGCAAGTTGACAAATGTAGAACTGTTTTCAGAAATGAAGGGAGAATCAGATAATTTGGTGGGAAGGAAGAGGATCAGTGATTAATGTATCCGCATTTTCATTCATTTTCCATATTAGTATGGGGGGGGGGAGAAACCCAGGATAGCACTATGAGAAATACATGTCCATTGGACATGTAATGAAGACTTAACCTACAGCATCCCAAATGGGTGAGAATCAAGCATAAGAAGCATAATATGGTAAAACTATATATCCATTTTTTGTTCCAGACTTGTGCCCTGAAGATAGGACATAGCCTTCACCAAAATGATGTCATCTCAATGTGTTTGATGGTTGTCTATGCTGTCTGGAATAGTTCAGAACCTCAATAGAACTGAAGAAACTATTCTGAGTATCTGGATACAGCATAGTTTTCATGTTAAACTATCCTCAGTTTGGAGTTGTGTAATTTTGATGGTGTGTATGTGTGTAATAAATCAAACATGACATACCTGCTTTCTAACCTGAATAGTTCCTTCCACTGGTAGACTGTAAGCACTCCGAATCAGTTTTTTTGCGATGAAATAATAATATACTGAAATAACAGATAATGGGATTACATAAAAGATGAGAAAAGAAGCCATGGATTGAATTTTTGGATGCAGTTCATTGGTATGTGGGTAAGGTGTGCAACTAATAAATGTTTTATTAGTGCCCTTGTCATAGAAATAACGCAAGTCTGAAAACACAGCCTCTGGAATGGCAAGCAGCATGGAGAAAATCCAGATTGTAGTGGCTTTCAAACAAATCTTCAGCAGGGCATGTGAAGCTTGGATGTCCATTGGTCTCACTATGGCTTTATACCTAAAGACAAGAGAAAGAGTTCTGTTACTGACCAGATCAGAGAATTTTTACTAGGACAGAATCATATTGAATAGTGGTTTTTTAATAAAATGAGTACAATTTTTTTGGGGGGGGGATGGTTCCTTACAATATTAAAGCAGGATTGCACCTTCTGCTGCATTTCTCCACCCTAGACTTTGAATCTACAGTATATTGAATTGTGGTATCTCTTTTGTTGAACATGAATGATGGCCATTCATTTACACAGACACTAAATCTCCTATGGAAACTCTGCAGAAGTCAAACTAGAGATGAGGATAGGATCTTAAAAATAATTAATAGGCAGATTTTTCAAAAATTAAATAAAAATTGCAGGAAACTCTTGAGCTGCAAATATGAACAGGAAGAGTTAATCCTTTCTTTTGCCATAATTAATCTCCATTGAAAGGAAAGCATCTACTCTTGTCAGTGGCACATGTTTTTCTGTCTGCATATAATAGTTTAGATGTTTGCAATAGTGGCAAATATCTGTATCTCAGGTAGGATAAGGGTAAAGGTTCGTTCTCCAATCTTATGGGTTGGTTTCTGAATGTTTCGTTACTAGGCTAGGTAACATCTTCAGTAGAGTTTAGGCGATGTCAGTGTTCTTCTATTTATAAGAGCTTCTGCTGTGGGTGTGTCAAGTGAGGGTCCGGTATGAGTCATTAGTGCATCTTGTGATGACTGTTGTCATGGGGAGGTTACATCAGTCAGGGTCATTGGGAGGTGAATGGCTGGTGGGGGGGGGGCTTGCATGGGTTGGTTGAGGGTCAGTGCTGTCTCTGGTTGGCTGTGTGGTTGATTCGGATTCTTTTTTTATTAAATTTTATTAGATTTTTATAAGGGTAAGAAAGGGATAGGTTTGGTATGGGTATTGAGTAGGGTTGAGGGATAGGGTTAGGATACGTACAGTAATGGGGTTGCTCCCAACAATCATTCAACACTTTAGCAAGCGGACCATCGTCCGGGTACAGATATTAAGTAACAGTAATTAATCTAATATTAAACAAATATAATCACTAAAAATATCAATAATCATGAGAATAATAATTAATCAGTAAATATCATTCAGCCTATTAAATTTCACATTTCTTTCTCACTAGATCGTATTGTTAACCATTGATAAAATTTTCCCCATGTTTTAAAATAAACTGAGTCTTCTTTCACTTTAATCTCTAACGTTAGTCTATCCATTTCTGCACATTCTAATATTTTTGTAATAATAGTTTGGCCAGAAGGTAAATTTTCATTTTTCCAAAATTGGGCAAATGTTATTCTCGTGGCTGTCAGTACATGTAATATTAAATATTCATTTTCTTTTATATAATTAAGTTCAAATATTCCTAGCAAGAACAGTTCTGGTTTAAATTCTATCTGTATTTTGGTCATCTTTTCCAGCCATATATGAATCTTAAACGAAAATTTCTTTGCATAGGGGCATACCCACCAGACATGATAGTAAGTGCCTGGTTTTTGTTTACATTTCCAGCAATTATTCGATACATTTTTAAACATTTTCGCTAATCTAACTGGTGTCATATGCCATCTATAAAACATTTTATATAAATTTTCTTTATATGAAACTGCTTTAGTAAGTTTAGTATTTCTGTCCCAAAGCTTTTGCCAATCTTCTAAATCTATAGAATATACAAAAAAGTTTGCCCATACTATCATTGTTTCTTTTACTTGTTCTTCTTCCATCTTCCAATTCAAAAGAAATTTATAAAGTTTCTTAATCAAGTTTTCGTCTGTTTTCAAAAGTATTTTTATTGAAATTTTTATAAACATTTTACAATAAAATCCCTCCCCACCTCTCTCCCTCCCTCCCCCTCCCACCAACCCCCCCTTCCCAGAGCTGAATACAGAGCTAAAAACAACAAAAGAAACATAACAAATTAAATAAACATCAAAAAATTGTACATAAATCCTAAAAAGTTTTTAAACCCCTTTAACTCCATTACAATAAAATCAACAAATCTAAACATAACAACTTTATACAATAAGTTATTCAAAAGCTAAATAATACTTTCTAATCCCATATTTGTTCTGAACAAAATTTACCCATCTTTTCCATACAGAATTGTATCTCTCTTGTGAATGGTCTTTCAGATAAGCCGATATTTTTGCCATTTCTGATAAATAAGAAACTTTAAGAAACCATTCCTCTAAGCTAGGCAAGGAGTCTTTTCTCCAATATTGCCCAATCAATAACCTTGCTGCCGTAATAAAATTCAACATTAAAATAATCTCTTTACCATCACAATCTTCAATAATACCTAACAAAAATAATTGTGGTGTGAATTTTATCTTTCTATTAAAAAAATTTTGAATATTCCACCAAATTTATTTATTTATTTATTTATTTATGAGACTTATATACCGCTTTAAGTGCAAGCACTCTCTAAGCCGTGTACACCAGTAAGCAATGTATATATATTTTATATATAATATAAAATATATAATATATATAATCTTGATCCATTATATTTCTACAAGGCCACCAAATATGACAATAAGTTGCATCCATACAACCACATCTCCAACATTTGGGCTGTAAGTTAGAATACATATGAGACATCTTTTGTGGATCAAGGTGCCATCTATAAAACATTTTATAAAAATTTTCTTGTAAATTTTGAGCTTGGGTAAACTTAACATTCTTAACCCAAATTATCTCCCATGTATCTAATAGAATCGGCTCTTCAAAATTTTGAGCCCACTTAACCATACAATCCTTAACCAATTCTGTTTCTGAATCCAATTCCACCAAAGCATTATAAACTCTTTTTATATCGACTCGATTTTTCAAAAGTATTTTATCAAGTTGTATCTGTTCTTTGTAAAATCCCATTGATTTTACATCTTTTTCATTCCGGTGACATCACTGAGCCTTGACCCAGGGAAACGACTCTCTGTTCCCTGGGTCCGATATTCTTCTGTTGGTGGGTCCGTTTGGGCCAAATGCCACCCTGGAGAGGTGGCCACTGAAGGGTGAATCTTTGAGGAATGCTGGCCAGCAGTAACTGACCCGTTGAAGTCAAAGCAGCCCCTGGAACCAATGGAAGAAAGGTGGACCGCATTTATGCAATCCACCATTAACAGCTGATCATCAGAGACAAAGAAACAGCTGAGTTTGATAGCAGCAGCTGAGCCGGATGAGAATATGTTTTTATTTTATCTGGAAGGTGGATTTTATCTGAAATAGCCTGTCTTCTGCCTGAAGCCTGAAGGGAGGAGGGAGGAGTTTTTTCTTTTTCCCCACTCCCGCAGAAGCGGCGGTTTAAGCTACACTGCACTACAAAGGAAAAAACTAATTTGGACTACATTAAAGTTTTTTTTTCAAGCATTAATGAAACTTGGGAAGCTTACTTTCTTTTTTTAAAAAATATTTTTTACTGGGGAAAGCCATTTTAGTTATATTCCCTCACTAAAACCTCAGAAACTTTTTCTCCACTTTTAACAGTTTTTTTTTCTTCTTCCTGTTTAAATGCCTGGAAAAGATACATTGTTTATTGTTTACATTGGCTACACTGAAAGTTTTTTTTCCCTTTGTTCTTCAGCAGCTGTTATTTATTCAGTCTGGGAACTTCGCTCAATGCCCAGACAGTTGGCTGAATGCCCAGACATTCCTATCTGACTTTGATTTACTTAAAGAGACTTTTTCTTTCTCTTTGATTTGTTCTCTTTTGCTTGGCTCTGGATGTACAATATAGATTTACCCCAAGAAGAATTGAACATTAAGGAATTCTGTGGGTTTTTTTTTTTTTTGCTCTCTTCCCTGTTCCTGAATAGAATTTGCTGGACCATAAATTGGATATCCTCCTTTACAGTTTGTTTTCTTTTCTTTTTTGGTTCACAGCCTCCTTTTCCCTTTCCCCTTGTTTTCTTTTTTTAATTATTATTATTATTTCTCCTTTTTCTGTTTGGACTCTCCCTTGTTTTTTGGATATTTTTTTGTGGGAGTCTCTTCTCCCTCTTCTTAGCTTTTTTTTATTACTAGCTCAGTTTTTCCCCTTGCTGGTTTGCCCCCTTTTTGGGGATGTTTTTGGGGTTCCCTTTTACCCCCTACTGGAATTACTTTTTTCCTTTTGAACCACATCTGGTTCCCTCTCCTAGAAATAGGAGCGTTTTGGATTATAATTGGCCATCGGGCCACCTGGCAGATTATGATATAACACAACAATTGGAAGATGAGTATTCAAATTTGGCTAAAGGGGGGAGAAAGGGTGCCTCTGCCCCTGCTTTGACCTCAACAAGCCCAGTTCCTCAAAAATCAATTACTACATTCTTACAACAAGAAAAGTAGAATCTCAACAAAAGGATATCCAGGCAATACTACAAGCAATTGCAGCTCAGATGGCATCTTCAATTAAAAACATTGAAGACCTGAAAAAGGACATGGATAAAAATTATGAAGATCTGAAAAATGATCTCATTAAAATGAATAAAAAAATGGAAACTTTTCAACATGCGATTACAGATAATCAACAAAGAATTCAAAAAATAGAAGATAAGTCAGTAGAAGTTGATCAGAAATTAGAATTTTTGCAAGATGAGAATCAGAGATTGGAGCAATTTAATGTGGAATTGAAAGACAATTTGGCCATGGTGGAGATGGAAAGAGCATCATATTTTTTAAGATTTCAAAATGTAATAGAAGAGAAGGATGAGAATTTGTTAGATTTGATGAGTGAGTTACATGCAGAGAAAAGACCCAAATGAATCCAGAAATAGACCAGGTCTTTAGAGTTAACTTAAGCTATGCTAGAAGAAACAGAGTTCCCAGGGAAGTCCATGTATGATTTCTCAAAAGATCTACACGAGATGAGATTCTGAGAGCAATAAGAGATCAACCACTGAAATGCAAAGAAAAAGAGCTAGTAGTTCTTAAGCAAATTCCTAGAAGAATAAGAGAAGTCTGAAAAGAATACCAATTCCTAACAAGGAAACTATTTGATAAAGGATTGAGCTTCAGATGGTTG